GTGTGTGTGTGTGTGCTTGTGTGTTGTGTGTGTGTGTGTGCTATGGGTGCGTGATGTATGTGGTGTGGTGTGTGTGTGTGTATAGTGGTTGGTGTGTGGTGGTGTGTGTGTGTGTGTGGGGGTGGTGTGGTGTTTGTGTGTGTGGTGTGTGTGTTGTGTAATTTATATATATAAGTATTATACATACATACATATATATAATATATAAATTATATCAGTTATATAGTATATATATTGATTACATTGACATATGTTATATATTATATACTAGTAAATATATGATTATGATTTATATATAGTGGTGTTATAATAGTTATTATGCATATCGTATATATATGACAATATATAAATGTATATATATATATATATATATATAATATTCATATATATATATATATATTTATAATATATATATATACACATATATGCCACACACATATATAAGCCATAAATATCGCCAACAGAACAACGAAGGGGCATATCCCTGACGAAAACAATAGTTGAAAATGTCCTCGGCATATTTCGCTGAGTTTTTGCCCTATCCCTTCGATGTTCCTGTTAGCAATCTGTACACCATTGCAAAGTTTACCAGAAAGGTCATAATAATATATATATATATATATATAAATATTATATAATATATAAATATATAAATATGATAATAATTCTATATATATTTATTAATATATAATAATATGTATTATGCATACATACACACACAAACACACCACATGTATTTAATTATACTAATACCCTAATAATATATATATATATATAATTATTATTCTCAAATAGAATATATGTTATATATATATAATAAAATAGTATATACATATCTACATATGCACACACATACACACACACATCACAACACACACTAACACTCACACACACACACACAACACTACAAACACACACACACTACACACACATAACACACCACACACACACACACATCACACGCACACACAAACACACACACACAACACACACACACACACACACACACACACAACAACACACACACACCACACGCACACACACACACACACACACTACACACACCATATATTTATATATAATATATATATATATATTCTATATAATATATATCAATAATTATATATATTATATATAAATAGTATTGTATAGTTACATAATAAATATATATATATATATACATATATATATATATATTAATTATAATAATTAATATATATATATTAAATATAAATATACATATATACATACATTATAACAATCACCATACAATAACACATCATAAACTATACCACGACTACTACAATCATATATAAATAAACTAATACTCATACTATGATATATACGAATATACTATGACTAATATCTAACCTAACCTATCTATTAACATACTATATATATATATATACAGATATACAATTATAAATTATATAATATATATATAAGATAATAGACTATAAATATTATTAACTATTTATATATAAATATATGTATAATTATATAATTAATATACATATATTATACATATATATAATAAATGTTAATATAATAGATGTATATATAAATATAACACATATTCACACAACACACTATACAACAACACATCTATCTAACTACAATAAGTAAGTGATATATATAAATTAAGGGAGATATGGAATTAGTGAGTGGGTGCAGAGCGAGAAAGGAAAGGCAATAGTGAGTGAGGTAAGTGATGAGAAATGTGAGTAGGAAAGAGCAACGAAAGAGAGGTAAGCTGAAGTAGAGCCAAAAGCTAGAAATATAAGAGGAGAAAAGAGGAAGAGATTATGATCATATTCATTACAGTAATTATAATATTACTACTCAGTTAGTCCACTAGATTTCCCATCATTATAACACTTTCGTCTATCGTCATCAAATATTACCATCATTCATATAAGTTGATTATCCCACTCTACGAGTTCCATTATTTTCAATAGTGATCACTTTGATCCATAATCGTTTATAATCAGAACTATCATTTAGTGAGTACTTTCGTGCTAGTACTGATAATTGCTCTTATCACCACCCATCTGTGTTATATACCCTTTTATTAAAATTAATCATTATCATATTAAATTATTATTATGTTATTATCATTATTATTTATATTATATTATTATTATTTATTATCATTTATTATTATTATAATATCACCTGACATTACTATTACCATCATCATTGGCATCTATTTATTATCATTATCAATCATTATTAGTCAAATTTATCATTATTATCCACTACCACATCCAGAATTTTTTATATCAATATCTCCGTTTATCATTATTCATTCTTATCTATAACATCACTGTAATATATAAATATCTAATTAATATTCTTAGTTAGATTATTCTATAACATTATCATTGTTACTTCTACTATTTATTATCATTGTTATCGTTTGCCATTATTATCTTATCATTATCATTGTGTATCCGTTATCCATTAGTCATCATATTACTATGTGTAATGTTGTTCTATTATCATTATTATTATCATTATTATTATTTGTGACTAGTTAGTTTACATTGACATCAAATTAATTCATCATTTTTCATGATTATTATTCTTCGGATATTTTCACATTACTAATATCGTTATTATGTCTATCAGTCCACTTGCCTCCACTGTTGATATTATTTATCTGTACGTTATCTCACTATATATCCTATTTATTTCAGTGTACTATCTTCTTGATATGTTTATTTGCCTAATTTAATCAATTAAAAAATCATTATTGTTTTACATTATTATTAATATAATCTATAAGTACTATTCTCATATCATGATTATCATTACATATTCTCATTATAATTATCATGATTGTAATCCATCATAATGTTAAGTTAAGTAAGTAGTTAGTAGTGAGTATTTGTTGATTATCATAATCATTATATTAATTATTATTACTATATATTATTATCGAATTAATTAATTATATTCATTTATTATTAATTTAATTATAATATTATTTAATTATTAATTATTTAATTTATTATTATAATATTATATAATATATTTAATTATTATGAGTTATATTATAATTCATTGATTTACAAATTATTCAGTCTATTAATGCATATAAATAACATATATATTGTTATATAATTAATTTATGTAAACATACATATCCATATATTATTATTGTTACTTATTATTCACATCACCCATCATCATACATATCATTAATTATCTCATATCACTCTAATTTAATTACATTAACACACATACTAACATTACAATTATCACTTATATACACATCATCACTAAATACCTATCCCATTATCCTAATATAATATAACTACATCCATCCTAAAAATATAACCCACAATCATCTCAATATATTCCATTAAACACTCATCATATAAATAACTCTTCCCATCCCCATCCTCTAACCATCTCCTAATAAAAATATAATATCTAATACATATAACATCCAACAATATCCCACGATAATATAATATAATATAAAATATATTCATTCAATTCTACACCTCCCCCTTTCACTAATCTAACTATATTAATATGATGGTTTTATTGTTATTGTACTATATCCAATATTATCAAGATATTTATTATTATTTCATTATCAGCCTTCAATATTCTTAAATTAATATAAGTGTTTTATAATTAATTATTATTTTCTAACTATCATATCCTTCTTATATTATCTATTTAATTATTGTATATTATTGATTATATTACCTTTCATTATCATCATTACTACATATTGTATATTACGTATTATTATTTAATTCATATTTAATACATTATAGACTATCATTGCTTTTATTATATTAATACTATTATCTAATATAATATTATTAAATTATTAATTATTTATATATTATAATTATTAATTAATTTATTTATAATTATTTATTTATATATTATTTATAATCATTATCATATTAATTCATAATTATTAATTATCATTTATTATTTATTATTATATGATTTATATTATTATCATTATTATTGTTATATATCTTTTATTATATTATACTATGATTATTATTATTATATATTATTATTATTAATGATTTATTATTATTATTATTGTTTATTAATTTTAATATTATTATCAGATTGGTCATTGTTACTATTTATGATAATTAATTATTTTTTCATTTAAATATATTAACCCTATTATATCCTAATTATTTATCATTTATTATTATATTAATGATATAGTATAATTAATTATATCAACATCTGAATATTCACCAATTATCAGGTTATTATCTTATTATTATATTTAATGATATAATTGTTATTTATTGTAATTAATTATTATTATCATCTATTATATATATTACTTATTAATTATTATCTATATATTATTATTATTTTATTATTATTATTATTATTACATTATATTATTATTATTATTAAATTATTATTTTAATTATTATTCTTATTAATTTATATTATATATTTCATATTATTATATATTATTATATTATTATTATTATTATTAATATTTATATTGATATCATTATTATATTATTATATTACCATTATTATCTATTATTATCAATCATTAAGTCATTTTTTAGGCTAGCTTTAGTCAAAAACTATAGAAATGTTATCACGATTAGGATGTTATCGGTCTCGTAGGGGGGATAAACCGGTGAACAGATACCCAATGACATAACATTCCTTATTAAAAGCATGCCCCTCTCTTCTTTTAACGTTGTGAGAACGTTTGCAAGTAGAGTTTTCCCGTATGATTTACTTGCTTCTGGGCGGGCGTGTAGTAAAAAAATATGTATTTTATTCTAGAAGATGCTTGTGTCAAAAGAGATCATTTTTGGGCAGATCCAGGTTGTGTGATTGATATTTATCAAAGAAAATCTTTCAAAATCAGGCACATATAGTGTCCATTAAAAAAGCCGGATATTAAATTTACAAAAAATATAGTTACGTGTACTTCGTAAAAGTGTCCATCTATCCATTATAGTAACACATATAATAAAAATCTTTCTCAACTCAGCAACCCGTAAGGAGTGAACACAGCATAACCCGAGAGGAATAGAAAAGGTTGGTGACGGAAGAGCAGGAAATATTCACTTGGATCTTCTTTTTTTTCATTTTTCTCGGTAAGTTCCGTCTCTCATAGTCGCATATACTAACCATTAAAAAGTTGAAATACCCCATGTTTATAATAATGTAAAAGAGACACACAATCTAAAGAAGGGAACCTAAAAATAGTCTAAAACACCAGAAAGACTGAACGTTGAAAAGGCCTAACTCACGTCACAGACTTACACTGAACGGAATGACTTGCTTTTATTCACATGCTAAAGGGAATTAGAGATGTTGAAATGCATCTTAAAATAGCTTTAGGGATATATGAAGCATACGAGGAAAAAGAGAGAGGATGTAACTATTGAGGGTCAAATTTTATGCCTAAATCTGTCTTATTCTTGATCTGTTTATTGACTGTCAAATTCGTATTTGTATATAATTATTGGAAATTCATAGTTCTAGTTCCTCTTAATTTGAAAATAATGAGTAGCATTAAGTGTATAGTTCCTTTTATTAGAGGCTTTTCAAGAGGTTTGGAAAAGAAACCCAAAATTGCACAAGGTAGAAGGAACGTCATGTTCCTTCTACCTTGTTGTTGCATCACATTATTATTAGTCACTTTGGTAATTTTCTATATTACGTCCACCGCTCCAAAATCAACGATTTTGATGTTGTTGGATTCCTAGCACTGTCCATGTTGCAGATATATAGTTTTTATTGCGCGAAAACCCCCCTATAGTGACAAACTTGGCCCCGATAGCAGGGAAGGGCATGAAAGGTTCCAGGAAAAATGCAGGGTTAAATAACACTAATGATATAACCCACAGCGAAAATAACCATGGTTATTTGTACGACTTTCCATTGCGGCCCCCCTTGGGGGGCCTACCGCCCCCAACCCCTGCCGAGGAAACAAAACCTCTACCACATATTCACATCAGGCTAGAGCAGTGGACGTAATATTACAATTACCTCGTAACATTCCCACTGAATCAGCATACTAACCTTGACATAGTCAGCATTGTATATAGAGACGATTGTAGTATAATCAAGATGAACAAGGTATACCATGAACAGAAGAGCGGCGGCAGTGGCTTCCCCACGTCGGCTCGGCGGGTTTTGCGCCTCTCTCGATATGTCTAGTTCGTGTGCGCTCTATCCTGCCGTGAATACGTGGTGGATTCTTTATTTCCTTGGTGGGGGTTGGAGGGCAGTAACCCCCCCAAGGGGGGTCACAGAGGGCACAGCCCCCTGCAATTGGAAATCATGTGAAAAACCATGGTTATTTTCACCGTGGGTTATATTATTAGGGTAATTTTCTTTATTATGTCCGCCGCTCCGACATCGTCGCCCCTGCTATCGGGGCCAAGTTTGTCCCTATAGGGGGGTTTCCTCGTAATAAAACCCACATATTTGCATTGTATAGAGTGAGAGGAATCCAACGATACCAAAATCATCGATGTCGGAGCAGCGGATGTAATAGAGAAAATTACCGTCACTTTTACCCTCTTGAGTGTTACTAACAGAGACACGTTAGTTTACAGGAATTGGATTTTTTTTTTTCACAATTACAGGGACCAAGTTCAGTCGATGTCTTGGCAAAGTTATTCCCCAGTGAAAGGCCTACTTCGTCAAATTAGAGGCAAGGTAGAGTTAAATAATTACCAGAGACTAACAAACCCCAATACGATGTAGTCTGCCAAGATAGAGCTTAAAAATAAGAGCTTAAAAATAAAATTTAATGATCATTTATAAGGGATGTTGATAAGCTAGAATTGATCAGAAACAAGGTAGGTGTAGATGTAGGTAGGTAGGTGCCTAGGCTTCAGCGGCAGTTGTAATGTAGACAATTTCTTATGTAATTTAGAACTATTACCGAATTTTTGTCAGCTGATATTTTCTTAACATGAAATTTCAAGTCTTCTGTTTCTCATAAAATTCTGGGTATCTCAAATGTGTTACTTGAAAATATAAGCAACATTGAGCACCCACTTTTTGACATATTCAGATACGTTTCGAAACCTTGAGAATGGAGTTATGCCCGAGAGTGGAGATTTAAAGATTTGGTTGGCCCAATATGTGATTTGCTGCTAATCCAATGATGCAGATTTTAAAAATTGATTAGTGAACATTTATTTATTTATTTATATGATGTTTGTGTATGTTAGCTATTAAAATTTGTACTATCATTTCAGAAAAGAACTGGTAGAATGAATGGAGAAAAAAGGTTTATTATGATGAGACGTAAATTAATAAGCTAATGTATGAAATTGATACGCATAAGTAAGATTGCATGGACTAGAATTCATGGCTATAATTTCATGGCATGTTTGTATTTGACATTTTTCTCTAGGTTTTGGAGGGAGTATTGTTTGATAATGTAAAGGGTATAAAAGTAGCAGTAGTCATTGTCAATGCTCTTATATGCCTTCAGTGCTCCAGGAAAGGTGAGAGACCTTCAACAGATACTTTATTTTATTTATTTATTATTTGTTTGTTTAACTGACAGATTTTTTTAAAAATAACTTACTTTGAATTTTTATTATTATTTTATATTTCGATTAACTGTATTCATTCAGTGGAATACATATTATTAAAAACTGACTTTACACCATTAGCTCTCATATCGAATATTATCGGATCCCCCCCCCCCCCCTCTCCTGAAATCAACTAAAAATTTAATGTATTGGTAGTTGAAGTCTGTCGTTACAAATAACAAGGTGCTTTACAGGTATGAGTTTATCATCATACCTTTATCATCCATGCACTGATGAATACCTGACTTTACCAGAATATCGAAATTCATATTACTTCAGATGTTTCACAGACTAAAGCATAGTGTTAGTAATGAATGATTGAAATGGTATTTCTATGAGTCAAAATTTCTCAGATTATTCCGTAATAAATTTTGTTGTATTTGTTCACAGGATCACATAACAGATGTTGTTTGATTCTTCCACTTGATATTTCATGCTGTTTCTGAAGTCATTACTGGCTATGCTTTTCTTATTTGAGAACTACACTGGGCTTAGAGACTTCCAGTTTGACACTTTTGGATTAATGTCTCGGATAGAGTGCACAATATTCCAAGAGGTAATTTGGCCTCAGTCGCACCTCGTACGGCATGGATACTGGCCCTTAAGTTAACCCACTTTTTGGCTTAGGAATATGAAAGGGCATTGTCTTTTCATATATACCTTTCTCTTTCTTTCTTTCTTTTTCCATTTATATGGACTCGCTTGTTGCCTCTATTTTGAGAAGTAAGAAAAAAAATGGTTAGCTGTATTTTGAAAAAGAAAGCACTTGATAGGTTTCAAGTTTGCTTTTCCACCTCTCTCAGCACTGGGGAACATTTTTTGCTGTACAAAAGATCATTATCTATTTTAGTTCTTTTCTACCACTTTGTACTTTTCTATGGGCTAAGTTTTTGAAGTAGTGTCTATTTGTTACATTGTCCTTTACCCAGAACACTAAAGCTCTCCCACGTTATTTCGTTAGCTAACAATATTCCTGTGAAAATGCGATTAGACTTCCATAATTATGTTGTCACGTCTTTCATTGTTGGATATCTTTAATATTTTTGTAAGAGTACAATGTGTAAGATCTGTGTAGTTTTTGGGAATTTCTGAATCCTCGATACATGACATTTACACAAACTTTCATTTGACAACTGTAAAGAAAGTGCATTTTTCATAAAGACGAGCCAAATTTTCACAAAATTACCCTTTTAGGTTTATTTGAAAGGTAATATTAAAAGTAAAAGAAAGTGCAAAAATTAAAATCCCGAGCCAAGATTCGGCCTTGGAAGATTCGACACTGTGTTGCGTGAATGAACAAGCAGATGAACCCCAGCCTATACAAATAAACTACTATAAAGATAGCCATTCGAACCAAAAACCTTTCTAAGCCAGGGCCTACGCCCCCAGACTTCCCTACAATCACTATGCTTCCCTAGCTGATCACCGTGCTTCCCTAGCCAATTGCCGTGCTCCCCTAGCCGATTGCCATGCTCCCCTAGCTGATTGCCGTGCTCCCCTAGCTGGTTGCCGTGCTCCCCTAGCCGAGGATGGGTAGAGCTCTGATATTGTATAATATCAAATTTGGTCTGTTGCTTGCACTGTGAACACTAGTGTTTTTTAAAATGAATCCATGGTCCTCCACTAATTCAGTAAGTGTTTCTATTTTATCCTCACATTGTGTCGTATTATAAATCATACCACTGACAAACCATTTTACCTGTTCATTACACACTCTGCGACAGTTTAAACACCGTGCGCAACCACGGTGACATGACTTATGACCCAATGGCCATTGAAGTATCACTGTGCCATACATTGATGTCACACCAAATTTTGAAGAGCATAAAATGTGAATAGATTAGAAAAATTATTTAAATGAATTAATATAATGGTAATTTATATTGTTTGGAGAGTAAGTATCGAATCAACTTAAAATTACGCGTAAATGTCTATCAAACGATAGATAGTAGCACACGCACTACTTTCTTGAGGGCCATCTACTAAGTTTCATGGTTTGTTTACATTGAGTTAGCTGATAAGGGGACTAAGTCTGTGAGCAATAAATTTCGGCATCTTTATGTCAATATTTTGACGTTAGTATGTTTTTCCGCGCTTTAAATTTAACTTCCCTGATAAGTTTGCATGTTTTTCTTTCATTTTAGTAGCATTTCATGTTTGTTTTCTAAAATTCTATATCCTCCAGCTTAACCACTTTTTCAATATCAGTGCTATTATTTTTATTTATATTGATGTATCCCTTTGCAGGAAATAGCCAGTCATCAGCCATGTCACAGGAAGGAAATGGTGAACCGCAGCAGGATCAGGCACAACAAGAACAGTCACAGTCCTCACCCAGGGGCGTTGATGCTCTGAAGGCACATGTCCTTGAGCATAAGGTGGACACAGCACTATGGGCCACTCGAGCACTTACTCTTTTATTCTGCATATCGTACCTCATTCCTATTTTTGGGTAAGTTTATATGTTCTTTGGTATTAATCATCTCTCTTCCCTAGATGTCTTTCTCCCTCCCTCCCTTCTTTTCTCCCCTTCTCATCATCTCTTCTTTCCCCTCTTTTCTCCTCCCATTCATGTAAAATAAATCTTCCTCCCTCTTTTATTCATCTTTTGAGGTCTTACTTTGATGACAGAATTAAATGATAAATTTCAAGAAAAATATAGCCTTTGATTTTTAATACCATTGCAAATTTCTTACAGTAACCCATACAGCAGTTACCAGAAAGTCCTGGTGAGCAATGCAGCAACCTCTGCCCTCCGTTTGCACCAGAGGATCCCGTCAGTGCAGCTCACACGGGAGTTCTTCCTCCAGCTATTAATGGAGGACTCGGCCCACTACCTTTTGTACTCCATCATCTTCATGTACACAGCCTCGATCACCATGGTGCTGGCTCCAATATTCCTATTTGCACTGCTTCATTTTGCCAGCTATACTCTGTCATTGCTTGATGTGAGTATTGGAAGAGTTGAAGAAGGGAGAGAGGGATAGAGGTTTAATGAAGAGATAGAGGGAGTGAGGGGAAGAAATAGAGAGGAGAAATTTAAATCTGTAGCCTATTATTTATAGTGATAGTAATGTCTTATACATAGGGCTATGGTGAGAGATTTCATAGATTTAGTTTTCTAAGAACAGAAATAGGCAAAAAAAAGTGCATACTCAGTATTTTCTTTTGTATTTCTGTTAGTGACACTATCATTATATTGGTGATTAAGGATATTCACTCCAGCCATATATCATCCTACATTCATCATCATTCACTTTCTCAGTATCACCATGCACAAAATCCTGTTACCAGTCTTAGCTGACACAGATCATTCCTTTGTGTATTATACAAATAAGGTCTTGTATTTAGACTGAGAATTGTAGAGTAAACAGCATTTGCAGAAACAATAATTTTTATCCTGTTGTTTCTTTCTTGCATCTTTGTTCAGTACATAAGTTTTAGTTCAGATTACACTATGTAATAACAGATATGCTATATATTTTGGCTATAACTATAATAACATCTGTATCACAGAGACTGCAGATTCACTTCTTAGTGTTAACCCTTTTTAGTAATTCAAGACTGACTGTTTAAGCTGCACTGAGGCCTTCCTTTGGCAAATCCATTCATTCTTTCCCTCTCCAGGCAGTAGCCTCTAGTAGCACTCTGTGTGCATTGTATATGTGGGAAAATGCAGTGTCCCTTGTTAATGGCCCCACTTATGGATTTTTTGTAGTGTGCGTATAATACCACTTATCATGACTTTTTTGTACTTGCTCTTCTCTTCTCTTCATTGTTACTAATTGTGATAGATCCATCTATAAACATCGCCACACACTTGTAAATTATAGCAGATATTCATTGGGTTAACATAGAATTATTGGGGTTTACATATTGTTTTACTTTTTAATACCCAGGTGGTTGGACAGAACAATGCCTTGGGATCAAGATTCCTCATCTCCCTGGTTGAGTTCCAGCACAGAAATATCTTGCGAGCAGCAGCCTTTGTGGAAATATTCCTCATGCCCTTGTGTGTGGTGTCACTTTTCCTGTAAGTTTATCAATGTATACACATTTTTAGCACCTTTAAATTTTGGATAGAATGTGTCAAAGATTTATATTATATTTATTGGTTACCAAATGCAAATGTCTTACCATATCAGCCTAAGCAAGGCTCTATATAGGTTGTAAATTTTTAATGCTTTACAAGTATAATTTCATAGCATGAAGAACATCTAGATATTTCTTGAACATTTTTTCAATATTTAATTTAGTATGTTCATTATATTTTATTTAATTAAAGAATATGTTTACTGGAAATTCTTGAATGTGTTCATTACTGAGATTTTTCTAAAAAATTTCCTTTTTTTGTCATTTTGATTTGACAACTCATTATGATCATTGTCATAAGCATTATTACAGAATAAATGATAAAGCATGACATATCTTGCTTGTCCTAGAAGGAGCTTAACCCTAATAATATTGTCTTTCTTTCCAGTGGCAGAGTCAGCTTAATCACTCCATTCGTGTATTACCGATTCTTGCTTCTGAGATACTCCTCACGGCGGAACCCCTACACCCGCAACATGTTCCACGAGCTCCGTATGACAGCAGAGTACGCAGTGAACAAACCAGGCATTCCAGTGTTCCTGCGAAATGCTGTAAACAGAGCCATTGTTTTCATCTCTGGGTTTGCTCCAGCTGTGGTTGCTCAGTAGTAGTATTCCTGATTGCTATTGTTAGAGACAAGTAGATTTGTTCAAGTTAAACTGCAGGACAGGATCTTTTCAACCCTGTTTTGGATTTTTTGTATCAAGAATAGAAAATGAATGAGTATAGGAAAAGAGATATTAATAGTTAGGAAATGCTCCTTAATGATTATTAAAATAGACCAGTGGAACCATTCAAATAACTGTACCATAATTAAAGAAATTAAACATGAAATGGCAAGAAACAATGAAATGCCTAGAGGTGTAGATAATGATAAGCAAAATATGTGTTTATCTCTTTCCTGTTTTATGTGGTAGTTTTTTATGGTGAAGTAAGTGAAATGTTATGTAAACATGGTGTAAAATATATGTACCCTAAAGTACTAAATTTTTAGTCATTGTGCTAAAGGTGTCTAATCTGTAAGAAATAACTGAATTGCTGGATTCAAAATAAGACACTAACATTTTCAGTTTGCCTGATATACTGGAAATATTGTATTTGAACATATCACATTACCAGTGATTCTTTTGATTGACTGATACAAGGAGAGTTCTTGCTTGAGAAATGTAACTGCCTATTTATTTTTCCTTACCTGGTGTCTGCTATTTGACATTTAATGTAGCGCATCATAATAGAGAACATCATTCATGAAAGGACTAAATAGCAGTGTTCATTCTGAACTTGTAAGGCTTAAAGTTTTATGGAGAACATGTTTTGATGATTTTTATTCACACCATTAAGGCTCTTTTTCACTTTATCTTTCTTTTTCTGTCTCCCTCTCTCATTACTTCTGTTTCATTCTTTTCTTTCCTTCCCTCTCCCTGTTATGCCTGAGATTCAGGCTATCATGTAGAATGGTTGTAAGTGTTTGTCATAAGTGAAAGTTTTATTTTAAAGCTTTGTGTTACTTTTCAAACGGATGTAAGTTCTTTCCAGACAGAGAATCTATCACTTTGCAATATGTTTCTATTGATGTTTTAAACCTTTAAGTATTGTCACAAAAAAGAAGTATTTCTGTAAAAGTATGTGCAAAATGGTGGATAGAGAGGCAGATTTTATTTCTATACCTCGTGCAAGGTGCGTGAACATTTGAGTGTTTTTATTTCTATACCTCATGTATGGTGCGCAGATATTTAGAAAGAGGAACACTGTTAGCAATATGGGAAATTAATGTTGTGACCAAAGTGGTTCATGACTTTAGTAACTCAATAAAATGTAGAGGGGGGAAATGTCTACTAATTGATTGGGAATCATATGGAGTTAAATATTTATGTGTGAGTTTAGAATACCACTCTATAGTAGTTGTAGCATTTTAGTAGGGATTTAATTCTATCTTGATATAAACCAAAAACTGTTGTAGAGATAGTGAAACTTATCACTGAGTCATTTTATGTATGATTTGTAAAAAATTAATATGTATTGCATTTTCTTTAATACTTTGAAGGTTGGAATGTTTCTGATGTAATTAAAAGAAAAGATGAAAGTTGATATTTATTTTTTATTAGCAAAAGCTCTAAATATATATATATATTTTTGCCACAAATTCTGAGGACATTAATGTAGTGAGTTTTCATCATTATGATGGTGTAAAAAGAGAATCACATGATATTGCATCAACACACTACTATCGTCCCTTCTCCTTTCCCTCTCCCTCTCCTTTTCCTTTTCTGGCTCTCCTTTGTCTTCAGCCCATTCTGTTTCTCCTGTCATCTGTGAATATTTAGCCTTCACTCTCCTTTTGCTTTTTTCACGCTGCCTCAAGGGTGCCTTGCTGGTCTTGTCTGATATACTGAATAACCTTAGTTTGGCCAGATTGTGTATAAAGCTGCATCCACACGATTAAATATGCCTGATTGGTGGAAGTGGTAAGAGCTCATTAGGCATTCTTTACTGCCAGACTACTGAAAGTTTGCGCCCGAACCAGACTGGTTGTGCCTCTGTCAACCACCTGTTGTAGTACTAGCTACTTCATCATGTCAAGCCACTCAGTAATTTGCCTATGTGGACAACAATCATGGGCCTATTGATAGAAATTACCCAGTAATTGGCACTGCTTACCAGGCATACCTGATCATGGAGATGCAAGTTAAGTAATCCTATATAGAGTTCTGAATGTCAGTCCTTGCAATACAAGACTTTTGAGTATAAAGGACCTTTATCATTATATGTAAGCAAAATATGAGTGGCCTACTTGGCCATGTGCCAAGGTTACAATTATAATTTTATAGATGTATGTAACTTTTTTATTTTTATTTTATTTTTTGCAAACTGTTTTGATGTGTTTTATTTAGTTTAAAAGTAGTGTAGCCATTGATACAATACACATGAAATAACTAATGTGGTATGAATATCATGATGGTGCAAAATATACCCTTGCCAGTATTATCTCAATATCTTATTTGGAAAAGGACTGGTATTAGTACAAATAAGTGGGTCCTAATAAGCATTGCTAAAAGTAAGTGTGATATGGAGATCTATGAAGTGCAAGCTACTCAATGTGTATGATTTTTTAAAATGTTGAAAAATATGGGAAACCTTTGGGAATTACAGTTCTAAACATATAAAAGAATCTTTCTTAAGACACTAAATCCTGATTAGTAAGTCACAGGTTATAAGTATGGGGAGGTAGCAAGTTTATCTTTTCTGGAATATTGAAAGGAAATTGACCTTAAGATTTATATGTGCTGATGATCGACTTCCTTGATACACTGGGTGTGTGTTAATT